CCCGCGGCGGGAGCGCCTTGGCCTAGCCCTGGGCGGCCGCTGCCCTCCGCGCATGGCCGCGGGCCTGGCCGGCCTCGGGACTGCAGTTCACGCCCTGCGCCAGGCGGAGCTTCCGGGAGGGTCGCGGGCTCCCAGGCCGCAAGCTCCCAGGTCCTCAAGTTCCAGGGAAAAAACTCCGGGGGCGCAGACCTGCCTGGAAGCCTGACCTTTTCCCCGGGGAGGTGTCCCAACTCACGCGGCTGAGGACCAGCCCTCGGCTTCAGGCGGCTGGGGTGAGGGCTGACGCTGGGAGAGCAGCCTCTCCCCCAGCCCCCAGGCAGCGAGCAGGGGGAAGGGGCCGGGCTCGGACGCTGTGAGGGTCTCACCTGGCCTCCGGCTCCCCAAGCACGGGAAATGGCGGCGTGGCTTTACTGGGGAAGCTTGGTGTGATCTGTAAAATCCCAGCCCCAAGCTGGCTGGAAACTGAATTGTAGCCCACGCCCACTTCAGGTTGGCTGGAGGGGCCCTCCTGCTGCCCCGCCCCCTCCTGGACCGGTGCTCCTTCTCCTTGGCGTGCAGACCCCAGCCTTTCCTAACCCTGGGGGATAACCCACCTGGGAGGTAAGTACACAAGCTCAGCCGTTTGGGGGGGAACCGAGGGATGTATTGGGAGCATTCTCAAAAGGTGGCCGGGCTGACCATGACAAGGGCTTGGGTGTGGTTTTGTTCTCTCTGGGAGTTGGTGTCTACTCTTGAGAAGATGCCCGAATGTCCTCCACTCTTCCCTGATTTCTGGCACTCTGTGGCAGTGGGCTGCATGTGCTGGGTGTCCCCACAGCCACTCTCTTGCACCTCGGGGTGCAGGAAGACACTTTGACAAAACCTGCGCTCCTGGCTTGTGCCACCACTTTTCTCTAAGTACAGTTTAGGGGAGTTTTCCAGAATGATTCATCATCTCACATAGTTAAAGATTGTTTTAAAACCACAAGCTGCCTCTGGGAGACACCCTCCCAATTTTTTAATCTCGTTCTTGGACTAAGTAATTTGACAATTTAGAAAACTCTTCACTAGACCTAGCTCTGTGGCTCACACCTGTTGCCCCAGCACTTTGGAAGGCCGAGGCAGGAGGATCACTTGTAGCCCAGGAGTTCAGACCAGCCTGAGCAATATAGCAAGACCTGGTCTCTACCACACATCAAAAAATTAGCCAGACATGGTGGCACACACCTGTAGTCCCAGCTACTCGGAAAGCTGAGGGGAAAGGATTGCCTGAGCCCAGGAGGTCAAGGCTGCAATGAGCCACTATACTCCTGCCTGGGCAACAGAGTGAGAACCTGTCTCAAAAAACCAAAACAAAAAACAAAAAAACTATTCACTAGAAATCTAAGCTCTGTCTGCAATCATGTAAAAACTGTAAACATAGTGGAGATCAGAGTGTATTTTCTCAGAAAAACTCCTTTCCTCCAACTTTACCATCTAGTGTAAAAATCATTCCCACATCTTTATAACAAAGCAAAAGAAAAAAAAAATCATTTCAGTCCCGAGGTTCTATTCACTTCTGGGTCCCTTGTCTTGAGGTAGAAATGTTGGCCTTGTCTGGACTTAGGCTCTACACAGCCTGAGCGAGGATCGTGCGAAGGTTTTGTAATTCTGCCAAAGTGATGTGAATAATGCCCATAGCAAGGTGGACACAGGTCCCCAAGCCAGTGAGATTCTCCCCTCCATTTTCGGTCCCCAGTACTCTCTCCAGAGAGTAATCTCTCTAGAAGGTGACTCTTTCAGAAAGTCATGGTGGTAGCAGTTTGCCAGAATTTGAGACCTGGTGGATAGCTACACGTCGTTCCCCACCCACCACCATGGCCTAGGCCTCACATCCGTTATCCAACATAGGTGTAAATTTGTTGTGGTTGAGTGTATTATTCTCAGGGTAGGTTCTTTCAACATTAAAATTTTGAGCCCTTAAGTTAATGATATTTCTTTCGGAAAAAAGGTTTTTAAACTGTCACTTTAGCCTCTAATTAGATACCTCTGCTTCTCTTTAATTCTGGTGGTCAAACATCTATTTCATTGCAGGCACAGCCACTCACACCTGTAATCCCAGCACTTTGGAAGGCCAAGGCAGGAGGACTGCTTGAGCTCAGAAGTTCAAGACCACCCTAGGCAACATAGCGAGACTTCATCTCTCCAAAAAATAAACATTAGCCGGATGTAGTGGTCTACGCCTATAGCCCCAGCTATTCAGGAGGCTGAGGCATGAGGTTGAGGCTGTGGTAAACTGTGATCATGCCACTGCACTCCAGCCTGGGAGACAGAGTGAGACCCCAACTTAAAAAAAACAATCAGCAGCTGTACAACGGATCTGGTGGTGTTCTGGGTGACCATTTGCTGTCACACTGCATCTCCCTGCGGTGGCAGTCCCTGGGCCTTTGGTGAGCAGGTCCCCAAGACCAACCCAGTGGTCCTGCTGAGGCAGCATATTTGGTCTGAGATATAGACGCACAGGATGAAAAGGAGCCCATGACTATGTCCGGTGACTTCTGTGCTAGTTAGCTAAAAGTAATGATGTGGTCCCATGAGACCATCTGGCAAGTAGACATTTGGCATTCCACCCTTTTGAAGATGCTTGTTCATATCTTACCACCTTTTCTTCCAGGAACTTGTGGGTCGCATCAAGAATGAACCTGCCCATGACGTCTCGCTAACACTGTGGTCATAGGAGTCCTCCTTTTTTCCTGCAAGGGAGCATTGGCAGACTTGATCCCAGGGGTCCCTCCTGGTGAACTTTTGAGGTAATAAACCTCTTTTCTGCTCTTACAGAGAAGATAAAGCCCAGAGTCTGAAAGGAAGGGGCAGGAGAGTGGCTCACGCCTGTACATAGTGTGTGAGCCCAGCACAAGTGGTCTTGCCTAGGCTAGAGTGCAGTGGCACAGTCATGGCTCACTGCAGCCTCAGTCTCCTGGGCTCAAGCAATCCTCCTGCCTCAGCCTCCCGAGTAGCTGGAGGCATGCCTGACTGACTTTTTTATTTTGGGGACAGATGAAGTCTCGCCATGTTTCCCAGTCTGGTCTCAACCTCCTAGGCTCAAGCAGTCCTCCTGCCTCAGCCTCCCAAGTAGCTGGGACTACGGGCATGTGCCACATGCCTGGCTGATTTATTTGTGGAGAGATGAAGTCTCACTATGTTGCCCAGTCTGGTCTTGAACTCTTGGGCACAAGCGATCCTCCTGCCTTGGTCTCCCAGAGTGCTGGGATTATAGGTGTGAACCACCCTATCCGGCTGCATTTTCTTGTTGAATTTACGCAGCAACCCCAGACTAGAAGGAGTACCTTGCTCCTTTTACGGTTGAGAAAATTGAGGCCCAGGAAGCATGAGCAGCTCACCCAAGGTCACACAGCTAGCTGGATGCTGGGTTCACACCTGCTCTTCTGACCATACCCAGAATGCTGTTCATTGTGGCCGCACTATGCCCTGTGACTGCATGCCGCATCCACTGACATGCCAGGTGCCTCCGGCCTGTTGTGCCAATGTGCTTTTTTTCCTCCCAGGATGTGACACCAGCAGGAAAGTCAAGCACAGCCCCTTGGCGCGCCCTGCCCCGCCTGCTAGAATGTTCCTCATGAACGCCCCGCCAGTGGCTGCGCTCCAGTCCAAATGGGAGGCCTTCGGGCCGCCCGGGACCTTTAGGTTTCCCAGGTGCTTCTCGGAGTCTCAGGAGGGCGTTGAGAGGGCGGCGGTGAGCGCCAAGGTGCAGATGCTCATCAGCACGCTGCAGCGAGATCGCGCCGCCCTGGGCACGAGTGAGGCCCCCGCCAAGCAGAGGAGCCAGAGGGCCGAGAGGTGTCACGACGCCCAGCCGCCTGCCAGCCCCACCGTGCCCGGAGAGCAGCCTGTGTTTGCTGCCTGCAGTCTCGCTGCCAGCTCGGATCCCACGGAACAGGAGGAAGCTTCGGACGTGGGCCCCTTGGAGCTGGATTCGGACAGCGATGACTCAGTGGACCGGGACATCGAGGAAGCTATCCAGGAGTATCTAAAGGCTAAGAGCAGCACCCAGCAGCCAGTGGCTGGCGGGACCCAGCCAGGAGGGGCCGCAGGCATGGGCAGCAGATGCCAGCTGGAGCCTCTGCACAGTGGCGCCCCAGCCACCCTCTGTCCCCAGAGTCTTGTGCCTGTCTCCAGTGGTGACCCTGGTGGCCAGGCAGGAGTCAGCGAGGCCCTGGGCTCTGCCTCCCCCGTCAGCGTGAGTAGCGATGACTCATTCGAGCAAAGCATCAGGGCAGAGATAGAGCAGTTTCTGAGCAAGAAAAGACAACATGAAACCCAGAGATGCGACGGGCCTGCAGATAAACAGGTGGAGCTGGGTGAGAACTCGGCCAGATCCCCCTTAAGAACCCCCCGGGAACCGGCCATGAGGGCCGCACCCCCACAGGGCTTGTCGGGCGCCTGTAGGGAGTTTGTCTTCCGCAAGCCTCCTCGCTTGGCCAAGGCGAACATCCAGCCCAGGAGCCTCAGGTCCAGAGTCACAGCTGAGCCGGAAACCGTGGGCAGCACGAGGCCAGCCACCCCCTGCCGCCCCACGGAGGCGGCCCAGAGCAGAGGTCAGGTGAGGAGGAGTGTCGGTGGTGCTAGGAGGGGGAGGCGGGTCAGGAGTGCGGCCCTGGCGCCCCGGGCATCTGACTCCAGCAGCGACGATGGTATCGAGGAGGCCATTCAGCTGTACCAGTGGGAAAAGACGCGGAAGGAGGCCAACGAGGACCCGCCGCCCCGTGCCCAGCCCCAGGAGGAGAAGGGGCCCGACGCCCCCACAAACAGCATGAGCAGCTCCGTGAACAGTGCCTTGCCTGAGACCCACAGAAGAACACCCAGCAGGAGGAAGCCAGCGGCTTCAAGGGCCGAAGAGCCTGTCCCAGGCGACCTCGACACCGACCCTCCCTCCAGAGCCCCACCCCCAACCAGCGCAGCATCTAGGAGCGAGTTCACGGATCGGGCCACGTGCCGGGCAGACACGTCTGCAGAGCTGATGTGCGCCGAAGCCATCCTGGACATCTCCAAAACTATCCTGCCAGCCCCCGTGGAGGGCAGCAACACAGCCCCACCCCCGAGCCCCCATACCCCCAACGTGCCTTTGCGCTCTGATGGCGACAGCAGCTCCGTGGACAGCGACGACAGCATTGAGCAGGAGATCCGGACGTTTCTGGCTCTCAAGGCCCAGTCAGGAAGTTTGCTGGCCAGAGCCGAGGGCCATCCTCAGGTCACACAGGGCCTGCTGTCCCCACCTGGCCCCGATGGCCAGCCCAACAGCCCCAAAGCCCCTCTGTCTAAAGTCCCAGATGTGCAAATGAGCTGCAGAAGGAAACGCAGGGGCGGCGGCCAAGCCCTAAGGCCAGCCACGCCCAAGAAGATGAAGGAGGTGGAGAGGGAGGGTGGTCAGGATGCTGACCATAGCCAGGGCCAAGCCGAACCCTCCCGTGATGGGCAGGACCCACCTGGCCAGGGCAGAACTGGCCAGGCACAGGGAAGGGACAGTGAGGCCCAGACACTTGGGGACACCCACGTATCGCAAGGCCACAGCAAGGCAGACGAGGCGAGGGGCGAGGATGAGAAGGGGAGCTCCGAGGACAAGAGCAGCTCACTGGACAGTGACGAGGACCTGGACACAGCCATCAAGGACCTGCTGAGGTCCAAGCGGAAGCTTAGGAAGCGGGGCCGGGACCCCAGGGCCGCCTGCCGAAAGAAGGTCAGGTTCAGCACCACTGAGACGCGATTCCTGGACAGGCTGGGCAGCTTCCGCAGGGACTGGAAGGCCAGCAGCCCACAGGTGCTGAGGAGCTGCCTCTCCAAGCCCAGGCGAGACAACCCGGGAAGCCCCGCGCTGAGACCCCTGAGTGTGTCAGTCAGCGCCACAGAGAGAACCAAGCCAGAGGGCACCATCTGCCGGGACACGACCCCGGCCTTCCGACTGAGGAGGGATGCCTGCAGAGGAGACCCGTTCCCCAGTGACGGTCAGGGCCTGGCCCCAAGCCCCAGCTCCGTGGACAGCGACACCAGCTCCGTGGATAGTGACGACAGCATTGAACTGGAGATCAGGAAGTTTTTGGCAGAAAAGGCCAAGGAGTCGGTGAGCAGCTTGGAAAGCCAAACCAACGGGCCCGGGCCAGAGGCGCCGTGCAGGAGGGAGCCAGCCCCATCACCCGGCATTTGCACACGGAGCCAGAGGGCCAGGGGACCCCCGCAGCTGGCTGAGGGGCCAAGAGGCACAGAGAGAGCCGGGGTACAGGGTGCGTTTGGTCTGTTTGGCCTGGGTGGCAAGGGCCTCCCCGCCACAGCACTGGCCCAGGGTGACCTGGCGCCACCCAGGAGCTCCGTTGGAAGTGTCCCTGCCAGGGGCGGTTCAGTGAGCAGGAGACACATTTATGTTCACAAGGACCAGGGCCCACGAGGGGCCGAGCCCGCCACCACCAATGGCGCCTTGAGTCAGCTGCCTGGCCATGCCAGAGCAGGCCCTGAGGTGGGGGCCACCTTCCACATGGGCTGCGGTAGCCGGGGCTTCCTGGCCTCCACCCTGGGCGCCGAGAGGGACTGCGGGGCCCAGACCAACCATGCCCTGCCCTGGAGCGACTTTGCCCACCAGAGTCGGCTTCCTGGCCCGTGGGTTCTGGACACAGAAGGCAGGGATGCAGCATGGAGGGGCAGCCTTGGGGGCGAGAGGGGGAAGGGGACCCCGCCCGGTGGCCTCCCTTTCTCCAGCTTCTCCCCACTGCTGTCCACCCAGCTTTTCCACTTCGGAAAGACCGTCTCCTGGGGGAGCAAGCAGACTGGCCTCTTCAGCCCCCACCTGGGGCTGCCCCTCCAGGGTCCATCCTTCTCAGCCTTCAGGGAGGCCCAGGCTGGGCCCAGCCCTGTCTTTGGAGGCCCACACCGGCTCGTAAAGAAGGACATCGGGCCCTGGCCAGGCAGGAGGGTGCAAGCGGGGCACAGCTTGTGTGACGGCCAGAACTCAGGCTCAGAGGAGGAAGTTTTAGACCTGAGGTATCGACACAGGGGCATTGACAGGGATGACCCGGACCCAGAGGCCTTGGGCAGCGATGCCAGTGACCTCAGCGACACCTCCGTGGAGGATGGTGGTGGCAGCTCGGTGCTAAAGGGCAAAGTCCTCCAACTGTGAACATGCCTGGTTCCAGCCGCCTGCATCAGAAGCCACGTGTCCGTGCATGTCCTGTGCGCGTCACAATGCTTGTGATTACAGGAGAGAAAACACAAGTAGGGTGGGTCCCAGGGCCCTGTACATATGTACATTAACACAAAATGACGTTTTTATTTAACAGATGTGTCCTGGTAAGTATGATTTTTGTAGCTTTTTGTAAATTATTTAAAGTGCTGTAAAAAATATTTTTGGAAAATACTGTTGTTCAGTTTTGTAGGGCGTTCCTAACTGCAGTTTTTTGTGCTCTGCATACCTTAGTCTTAGGTTAGCAAACGTGGTCCTTCCCGTCACAGTCAGGTTCAAAGAGACCGAGACTGGTGCTTTCGGCTGGCTACTAGTCAAAATGTCTAATTGTAGACTGGGCACGGTGGCTGACACCTGTAATCCCAGCACTTTATGGGAGGCCAAGGTGGGCGGATAACTTGAGACCAGGAGTTCAAGACCAAAGTGGGAAAGGGAGCATGACTCCATCTCTATTTATTAAAAAAAAAGGTTGGGCGTGGTAACTCACGCCTGTAATCCCAGCACTTTGGGAGGTTGAGGCAGCAGGATTACTTGAGCCCAGGAGTTGGAGAACAGTGAAACCTCATCTCTACAAAAAAAAAAAATCTTTTTTTAAATGAACTGGACATGGTGGCGCATGCTTGTAGTCCCAGCTACTCAGGAGACTGAGGCAGGAGGATTGCCTGAGCCCAGGATGTAGAGGCTGCAGTGAGCTGTGATTGTGCCACTGCCCTCCAGCCTAGGTGAGACCCCCAACTCAAAAAAAAAAAACAAAGCAAAATGTCCAGTTGTAGCTGCAGTTTGAAGCCTGAGGAAGGCAATTGTTGCCACCTCAGGAATCACTAAGATGCCCAAAGTTGTCCTTTGGGAAGCTCCCGGGAAAGCACTTTTTATACAAAGGACCTTCTCCCGCCCAGTCCCTAGAGGCCAGACCCCGTGTTCTGAAAACTGCAGTCACAGCCTTCAATTGGAAAAAGGTTCCAAAGCACAATAGCCAGTGAGTAAGGTGACCATTCCCTCTTGCACGCAGAACTCCCCATGAGACCGTGGCAGCTGTTGCCTGGGTCTGTGAACATTCAAGCTTGTTCCCTCACTGGACAGTTCTAACATCCACCTAAACCTCTCTCTATGTGGTAGCTGCTGTTTTTGGAGTCGGGGGTCTCCCTATGTTGCCTAGGCTGGTCTCGAACTCCTGGGCTCTAGCAGTCCTCCTGCCTCAGCCTCCCAAAGTGCTGGGGTTATAGGCGTGAGTCACCACACCTGGCCTTGTTCTTCATTTTTAATCATGGTTCCAAACACTGATGCAACATGTGCACGAGAACACGTGCTGCTGAAAGCTTTGGTCCCCACATGCCTTGGGCAGGGTTGGCATGCTCAGCCAAGGACCAAGGCCAAGCCCTCCCCACAGCCCCCCTCCAGCAGCCGGTGCCCAGTCCAAGGGGCACCCCATACAGCCCTGGGACGGACAACAGGGCCTTTCCCTGCACCCCGGTTTGACTGGAGGCAGTTGTCCCAGGTCCCGGTGTCTGGACCATGCAAAGTTGCTCTGGCATCCTGCACCTCCCGCCTCCCGCTCCAAGGCCCCGTGGTGCCTGGGGCTACTGCAGAGGTAGGAGCAGTGTTGGGTCACGTTTACATTGTATCATCTGTCAGTCTTGACAACTCAGCCCTGTGGGGTAGCAGCTGAATTCTGTCGGTGTCCTAACATTCGAGTGGATTGTCTACACATTGTGCACCCCTGGGTTTTAGCAGTAACTCCCTTCTGTGCCTAGATTGGCCACGCGTCCCCCGCCATCCACAGTGTCTGCCAGGTCAAAGCCGTGACCAGGGCCCGGTGGTCCCCATCGCTGTCCACTGCCCTCTTGGTGTGCGTCTGGTATCTTCATTGTGGCATATTCGTTCACTTAAGTGCTTCCAGGAAAGACAATTCTGTGGAATCCATGCTTTAACTTGCATTTAATTCTGTTAGAGTGCTTTTAATCCGTTTGTTTTGTATATAAGAACTGTCTTTTGTAATACTAATAAATCAAGCACTACCCACGAGTAGGTGCGTGTGGTTTGTCTCCTGAGGAGTCCCAAAGCGGAGGGTGGCCTCTGCAGAGTGCTGGCATGAGAACCTGGTGGTTCTAGCCCTGCAGGGGGGAGGGGGAAGGTGGACTGTGATTGCAGGGCAGGGAGCCCTGAGCTCCTCCCCGCCCCTGCCTCCCCGCTCCATGCCCCACCCAGGGAGGCCCCTTCTCCAATCTCTCCCCCAACCTAGGACCCTTCACACTCACCCCACCCCTGTGCCCTCTGTGCTAATGTTCCAGGTGGCAGGGCAAGCCAGAGCTGCTGCCACCCATAAAGCCAACCTGAAGTCGAGGGACACGGCATCAGTTACACGGCCATCACTGTGGTTAATGTGTTCCCTCTCTGAACACTGGCAGTCGGCTGCAGTCCCAGTGGATCACTCACCAAGAACACAGCAGGAACCTGAATCCCTCCCTATGAAAACTGTGGTCCCTTTTCAGTTTTGTTGTTTTGGGTTTTTTAGTTGGGGTTTCACTCTCTCACCCAGGCTGGAATGCAGTGGCATGCTCACGGCTCAACCACAGCCTCCACCACCTGGTCTCAGGCAACCCTCCCAACTCAGCTTCCCAAGTAACTGGGACTATAGGCACGTGCCACCACACCCAGCTAATTTTATTTTTTGTAGAGGTGAGGTCTTACTATGTTACCCAGGCTAGTTTCGAACTCCTGAGCTCAAGCAATTCTCCTGCCTCAGCCTCCCAAAGTGCTGGGATCACAAGTCCAAACCACTGCCTGGTCCTGTTTTCAGTTTTTAAAAAGAGGCAGTGCAAGCCGGGCTTGGTGGCTCAGCCTGTAATCCCGCGCCTTTGGGAGGCTGAGGTGA